CTTATTCTTCGAGGGGTCTTGACAAATTGAGAGGTCCCTCCTCTTCGAAAGAGAGAGAAGTTTTGGTTCCCTTATCCTCGAGGGGTTTTGACAAATCGAGAGGTCCCTCATTTTCGAGGGGTCTTGATAAATGGAGAGGTTTTTCATCTTCGAGGGGGTTTGATAAAGGAAGAGGTCCCTCCTTCTCGAGGGGTCTTGAGAAAGGGAGAGGTTTTTCATCTTCGAGGAGGTTTGACAATGGGAGAGATCTCTCCTTCTCGAGGGGTCTCTCTTCCTCAAGGGGTTTTGAGGAAGGGAGAGGTTTTTCATCCTCGACGGGTTTTGACAAACGGAGAGGAATCTGAACAGGCTTCTCCTCATCCCCATCATTATCGAGGAGGATGAGGATAGGCTTTTGGAAAGGTTTTTTCTTTTTCTTCTGAACAGGCTCCTCTTGATGCTCGGGGAGAGGGATGGGGTAGTTGTTCCACCATTCTATTTTTTCTTGCTCGAGGATTTTTTCAAAAGTCGTGGCCTCTCTAAGATGAGACGAAGGAGGAGAGTCCTCGAGAAGAATATAATAGGTATTCTTCCCAGTCTTCTCGATCGAGAGAGGTTCGTGCAAACATTTGTGCAACCATTCACTAAAATGAACGAGAATCCCTTTTGTCTTCTCAAGACGATCCATAATCCTATTCATTTGCGAGACGGTTAGAAAGTGGGGGACGTGTAAAAATATTTGGCTCGTTTCATTAACAAAATTTGTGCATCCAAAGGTGGAATGTCACGAGCCATCAACACGTTTTCGTCGGATAAAAATTCGTCCCGCATCTTTTGATAACTCCCCACGGTATGATAACCCGCACATTTTGAAAAATCGGAGGCTTTCAGGTAAACGACTCCTTGGATGATATAAAAGGAAAGATCAACATATTTATATTTGAAAGGAATACACGTAGTAGTGAGCTGGGGATGCCTCCTCATGATCCACTTGGACAAAAATACGACTTTGGGGCTCTCCCCTTTTATTTATAGAGAGAAAGAGAGTGTGACCTTCCCTTCCCTCCTCCTCCTCTCTCCCTGCTTCCTCTATCTCTGGACGTCCTTGGATTGGAAAGGGTGACTTTGAAAAAAAAAAGAAGGTCATGGTTGGATAATTTTTGTTTATTAAATTATTACTTTCACTTCCTCATTCCCACACACATTCATCTTTTTAAGAAAAGAAAAAGAGGTCATGGAGATAAGATTTCTTGGAAAGAAGAGAGAGAGAGAAACAAAAAAAAAAAAAACAAATAAAACGGACGTCATAGAGCCTCTATGTGTGTCTGTGTGTGTCTATATAGATATATAAAAAGGCGAGAGTACTGGGCGAGATCATTTCTTTTCCATTGGGAGCCATGTCGCTATTAGACGTTTTTCCAACTCAACGGATTTCGAACGGGGAGGATTTGAAGACGCTAAAGCAAATCTCCAACTTGAAAATTTTTTTGGCGTGTCATTGTGCGACATTTATTCCGCATTTACCACCTCATCAAGCGATCGTTTCTTTCAACCAAGATGTCGAATCCTCCAACCTGCTCGTTCAGAATATATACAGAAATTTATTCGAATCGCAACAAAACGAAAGAGGAATCTCCCTTCTCTTGGAATCGGATGGATCGAGCTTTGAGACGGCCCATTCAAACAGACCGGCGATATACGGATCCGCGCACGAGTTTTCGGTGGAAGAATATTTTTCTCACGAAACGATATTTTACGTTTGGAGTGAGAACGACGGCTGAGGACGAAGTTCATATTGTTCAAACCACAGCCGCTCCTCTCGCCTATTACGAATCATCGTCCCCCAATCTGAAGGAAAGAAGTTTTAAAGTCAGCGACAGGATGAAATATAAGAAATATATTCTAAGACCTTTTCAAAACTATGTCGTTCCCCCGAAAACGCAATATCTCATCGTCACAACCCAGAAGAGTCTCTTTCTCGTCGATCGGTGCTCGTACTCGCTTTGGAAACAATTGAAAGAGGAGATTTCTTTCCAATCGCCGATGATGTTTCAAGAAAAAGAAAGAAGAAAACCCTCCGCCACCTTTACCCATCCCTTCCTTAGATGATAAGAGGAGCTGGACCAAACCGTCATGGCCCGAAACAAAATCGACCCGGCAACGGAATGAAATTGAAGAAGTCATCAATTGAAGATGAGGAGGAAGAAAAAAAATTACCTCTTAAAAAACGGTCGACTTACCGGAACCTACCTGGCGTGCAAGATCCGCTTCAGAATCCAGAAGCTTCTTCTTCTTCTTCTTCCCCGACTTGTTCAAACAGGCAAACCTCTTTCGGACTCCTCACACAGACAGGTAGTCTCCAACCAAGTCCCGACATCGTAGAGGTAGAATGTCAGCCGGGTCCACAAGTTCCAAAAGTCCAGAAATCGGGTAGAGGTAGAAGTTCAGCCGGGTCCACACAAGTTCCAACGGGTCCAGAAATCATGGAGGTAGAATCGCAGCCGGGTCCAGACATCCTAGATCCCTCCACTCATCCCAAAGAGACTCCAAGTGTTTCAAGACAGCCTTGTGAGGATCCAGCCCTTCCCGTATGGAATGATTATATGGACTTACAAAATTTGGTGCAACAGGAAGGAGAAGAAAAATAATCATACGGATGGGTGGGAATTGCATTTCTGAAAACATCGGAAATGGGATAAAAACCCAAAAAAAAAAACTTTTTTAATAACAAATTGGAGGAGGGTCATGATGTCAATTAAAAAAAAATATTATATAGAGTCCAATCTTGGTGGTTCACTTCAGTTTTCCAGCATGCATGAGGTGATCCACGTTTCCCGAAATATGGATCCCATTCCAAGAGAGAGATTGTGTAGAGCCTTCACTTCAGTTCTTTTTTTTTCCTACCAAGAGGAGAGGGTCCCCAAAGGGCTACCCATGTCCAAAGAGAGAAAGTGTGTAGAGCGTTCATTTCAGTTTTTTTTTCCAAGTTTAGGGGAGGGAGGTCTCAAAATGACACCCCCCATTTTCAAAGAGAGATGGTGTAGAGCGTTCATTTCTGTTTTTTTCCAAAGTTAGGGAGTTTTCAAATGGACTACCCATTTCAGAGAAAGAGAGAGAGAGAGAGAAGAGAGTGTAGAGCGTTCATTTCAGTTTTCCAAGAGGAGGAATCCTCCAAAATGGCTTCTCAGAGAGAGAGAGAGAGAAAATTTCAGTTTTCCAACATTAGAAGGTCCCAAAATACCTTCTGAATTCAAAGAGAGATCGTGTAGAGCGTTCATTTCCAGTTCTCCAAGATCAGAAGAAGAGGGTCCGCTTTTCCCAAAAGGGCTTTCCGCATTCAGAGACAGCGAAGTGCAGACTTCAGTTTTCTCCCTCCCCAAGAATAGAGGGTCCCAAAATGGCTTTCCATTTCAAAGAGAGAGGGAGAGGCGTTCATTTCCATTCTCCAAGATAGGGTCGTCTGCTTTTTCCCAAAATGGCTTCCCAATTCAAAGAGAGAGAGAGAGAGAGAGAGTGAAAGGGTGTGTAGAGCGGTCATGTTCATTCTCCAAGATAGGGTCGTCAGCTTTTTCTCAAAATGGCATCTCCCCATTCAAAAAGAGATCGTAACCAATTTTTTCCAGTTTTTTCCAAGATGGGGGGGAGAAGAAAACCTAGGATGGAATAACACGACACACAGAGAGAAAGAGAAAAAAAACGCCATCTTGTCATTTTCTGATAGGGTACCGGTGTTCGAATACTTTTGTGACCGACTGTACAGTTTAGCATCTGCGGGCTCAGTAAAAGATGGATAGGCAAGGCATAATTCCCTTCGTTATGCACATCTATTTGTCATAAGAAAATTTGAATCGCTCATCACGCCTTGCTGGAGTTCACTCTGATAACATTATTGAGTGAGAAGAATGATTCTTGATCCCTTGAATTATCTGTTACATGCTTCTAAAGGACCATTTACATAAGACTTTGAGCACAAGAAGCGTAACTGTTCTGATAAAGCGAAAAACAATTGAGCAATTTTTACTATAAACAATTGAGCAAATAAAACAATTGAGCAACTTTTACCATAATGTCATTCTAAGTTTCAAGGTGAGATGTTTTCTCAGTATATAAAACTAATTCCATTAAAACCTAGTCAAGCACACCCGTGAAGTTCGAGCCTATTTCTTAGGCTTAAAATTCCTTTAGCATAAACGGCAATTTAGAAGGCATAATAACAGATATCAGTTTAGATTAGTTTTAGCGATTAAGGCAAAGTAGAAGAGGACTATTTGAAGAAAAGGAAGATACTTTAATGGAGGGCTTTCTTAGCAAAACTGGCTCATATTCAGTTACATATCGCGAAAAACATTTAAACATATCTGAAGCAAGCCTGATTTAAAACTGGGTTAGAGAGAGATTAAACTGTTTGCTGTGCCACGACATGTATGAGTGTAACAGCAATAACAGCTGCAGTAAAGTGTTGCAGAAACATGGGGTGAAAATTTAAAAAAAAATGATTGTTATACTCCCTGTTTCGATATGCAGCCTACTGTAATTCTAAAAATTTGTTATTCTAAGATAGAATTAAGGATTCAGAAGTGTTTCTTGTAAGGAAATAGCATCAGGTCTGAGTTCATTTGTAAAATCCCTGAATTCATCAATACAATTAATTTCTCAAATCATGTTTATGACTGCGAAAGTCGAAAAGGCTTGAAACATATTTCTAGATTTAATATTGGTTACATAAATACTGCTGAGTATTTCTTCTAAACAATTACAATTATAAACTTGTTTTCAACTATTTTTCTCCAAGTTTATTCTGCATAGAAATATGATCTAAAAACACTTTTATCCTTCCCTTTATTGCGATATTGCATAGTTTTCCTTTTATTTTAAAGAAGAAACTGAAATTATAAGGGATATTTAGACAGTAATTTAAAGTGGTACTGATTAGAAATGTAATTTAAACAAATAATTAAATAAAGCACGTGAACTGTTTACCATTTCTGTTCAAAATACAACAGCTTGCTATCTTAAGTTGCTTGGCCAATCAACAACATACTTATTCTTCAACCAATACCATCACAGGCTGATCTCGAAGAAGGATAATTAACATTTCATAACAATGAATATTCAGGAAAAATTAAATTTTGGATATTTTAATGGCAGTTTATACTCATTTATTGTTGTGTAAAGCTTGATCAATTTTTAAGTTCTTTGTATATACTATGAAAATTCTATCGCTATAGTTTAGGCTTATGGAATTCACTCATTCACTTTGTCCGAATGTTGGGTCGCAGCTGCCGACAGAAACATTTTAAAACTTATATACATCGTGTTAGAAAACGAGATAACGATCGAATTATGTTAAATTATCTGTGATAATGGGAGGTTGTTTTGGTACTCAACAAAGCAGACCTTCCTCAGGCATTGAATCTCTAGATGGCACAAGTTTACACCAAACAAGTAAGGAATCATATTAATTGGTTTACTACCAATAAAATTTTGTAGCCGTTCGGCTGTAGCTATAATACCATGAATAGTCATTTGTAGTAATAAGATTTGTAAAGAATGAAATTATTGACATGGAAACATTACAAAGAAAATTCATTAATCTATGTTCTACTTTTTTTGCTTGTGTTTATGTTGCATAAGTAGGTTGTATTAGTTTAATGTGGAACATATTTCTCATCATAATGCAGATTTTTTTTGTACTGCTTCAAATCCTTTAATATCCTGATTTTTAGAAAGGCCTATCTTATGAATTTGTGTCATATTCATAATTTAATGATATTCTTAAGGAGAAATCTATATGTAAATTGAGCTGTACCTTTTAGCAGCTTTTGACAGTTAGTTAATTTAAAGTAAATATGCCATTTACCTAAAGAATTAAAATTAAAGGATTGTCTTTTTTTTTTTATTTGGAAAGGGTAAAGATCTGTGCTAACATGCATTTGTTTTTATCATACAAGTACAATATTTAAGCTATATTTGATCATTTGGATTTTTAGAATAAATGGTCTTTTAGCATGCCACTATGACATTCCTTTTTAATGTTCGTGTACATTTTGGGGAGGTATTTAAGTGGATTTCATGTTTTATGTGCTTGACCTCTGTCTAACATCTGTTTTATTTACTGAAACTAAGAGCATGTTGAATATACCCTTTATAGGCATAAAGTAGTAAGATTTTGGAAATGAAGTACATCTTTTAGGTGAGTGTGGAATTTGAGTTGAAGTGCATTGCTATGTGGATTAAAATTGTTTAGTAATTGTACGTAGTATATGTGCCGATTTAAAAAAAAAAAAAAATGTCACGAACTAGACATCTGTTTATTATGCAAAATCATATGTGACTGGGCAGGCCAAGTTTGTCCTTTTAATAAACAGCATGTCTTTTATATATCTAAGACAGTTCATTTACTCATGTGTGTGGATCAAAATACGGGATGCTTTAATGGAAAGGAATAAGATTTTACTTTTCTGTAAAACTGTTATGCTTCGCAGGGCAGAACTATGTTGTATGTCTCATCAAGAAAAAAAAAAAACTAGAATATCTGTCCATGTTCATTCATGTTATCTGAATGGAAGTATTCTTCGCTATTGGATCAGTTGAAGTGTATCAATTAACTATTTGTTGTGCTTCCTACTTCCCAAATATTCAGACCTAAACTCTTTGTCATTTTTTTTTTCTAGGGATTTGGGTAACATACCATATACAGGCTTCTATATATTGAGGATAATGATGGATTTCAGCAAATCTTTCTATAACTGTTGTGCAGTGGAATGATTGTAGAATGAAATAGACTGTCAAGCTGATGTATATCGGCTTATCAGAGATGCATATTTAAAATATCGTGCATAGTTGACTTTCATCTTACCCTAGTCATGATTTATAACACTTTTCTGTAAGAAAAAAATTTTTCAAAAAAATAAAATGTTCCTTCTATTAAAAATGTTCTTTATAAAAAGAAGTTTAATTTTGTACTTTTTTTTTTTTTTTTTTTTTTTTTTTTTTTTTTTTTTTTTTTTTTTGTTTTTTTTTTTTTTTTTTTTTTTTTTTTTTTTTTTTTTTTTTTTTTTTTTTTTTTTTTTTTTTTTTTTTTTTTTTTTGTTTTTTTTATTTTTTTTTTTTTTTTTTTTTTTTTTTTTTTTTTTTTTTTTTTTTTTTTTTTTTTTTTGTTTTTTTTTTTTTTTTTTTTTTTTTTTTTTTTTTTTTTTTTTTTTTTTTGGAATATTATAATGTTTTAAACTGTAAAGTCATGTTCTTGTTCACTTACAATTTTAAAAGTTACCCATCCATATAATCAGGTAACAAATAGCATTGTCTGTAGACTTAAGTTATGGAAGGAAAGTTATCTCATATTTATTACTTTCTTCAAGAGTATTTGAAAGACTATTTTACTTTAACATTAAATTATGATTAATCATATTACATGGTTTTGAAACATTTTATTGCAAGGAATGGCTTTTCTGCATATTTTTGAAATATCAAAAAGATATGAAGAAAAATTTAATTTTGTTGTTAGGATCATAAGTTACATTACACTAATAACTAGTAAATATTAATTTCTGTCATGGCTTTTCAATCGGATTAATGTGCAGTTTTTGTTGAGAGGTATTATTTTTAAAAAAGGAAAAAAGTCATGAAGTTTGTTTATATGTACTTGGAAAATAAGCCACTTGATTTCAAATTTAAATTTGGATATCATTCAACCTCAAATTGATGTTGATTTATTAAAAACTGTGTATGTTGAGAAAAATTGTTACAAAATCTGTTTCCCAAGGAGAAAAAATATTCTGTGTTGTAGGCCAGAAGTATGCCATAAAAATATGACAATAATAAAAGCAACAGTCATTTTATCATCTGAGAACCTAGTAAAAACAGAACAAAATATAATGAGATAAGATTGTATATAGACTTTAAGAAGAAATCTTTAATTGAAGTTTGTGTATGGAAAACTTGGAAATCTTCAAAGAAATATAATTCTCAACTGAAATATTTTCTGGCCTATGGCACAGACATTTTCTCCTTCATTAAGATGATGATCTTATGAGAGTGTCCATCTGAAAATTTAGAGTTTTTGTCTATATTTTTTGAAGTTAGCTTTAGCTGAAGGTGGACTTTTGCCTAATGTTAAATACTTTAGTGCTTTACTTGTTCTCTTAAATGCAAATAATATGTTTTTTGAAATATTAAATTTTTGACATATATGAAATAATAATTGCTATCAATGCTTGGATAAACTGAAGTATGTTTTTTTAATCATTTTTTTCAGCATGTCATTTTATGACTTTAGTTCTCCTACAAATTATAAAAAGTTGTAGCTTGGATATAAGACATGTGAGGATAAATTTTCAAAAGTAAATGCAGTTATTTTTAATTAATTATTGAATGAATAATCCCTTTATTATTTAAAAGAGTTTGTACCTCTTTCCAGTAGCATATCTGGAGTTTTATGTGTACATTTAATATTATGTCTGTTTATATTAACTAAGCATTATTTTTAACTTGATCCATTTTGTCTACTTAAGGGGTAATGTGTACTGTCTTCTTTCAGTATTAATATGGTGTTGAGGATCAGCCAGCATACTGAATCCAAATGTATTAATGAAGAGTACATTCTCCTTTCAAATGAGAGTCCAGTTTTATTATTCTTAACTCCAATATAGGCATACTTTTGCATAGATTTGTGTGAGAGACAAATGTTTTTATATTGGCCAGTAGGCCAAGTTTTTCAGAACTTCCTTTGAACAGTTTATCTTAACAGTTCCTGCTGTATTGGCTATGAGGACTCCAGTAAGTTGCTTTGCAGCCCTGATAAATATTGATCCCAATTAATAACTTTTTAATGATTTTTATTATTTGTTACAGTAACTTTTGCAGTGTTTTTAGAGTCTTCTGCTCAATCATGTATTATAGTGATAGCATACTGACAATATATTGTTGTATATTCAGCATTGTCGAAACTTCTTTCTATGACTGTTCCATTGTTTTGATAATTCTATTGAAAAGTTCTTTATGCCAGAGTTGACTTTAGCGTACCCCTTGTGTTATCGTGAAATTGTTGTTTTATTTATCGCCAAGTTGTTGTTTCATTTATCACCAAGATGTTGTCTCATTTTTGACAACCTGAGTAGTTGAATGTTATGGAAACCCTATTATGACGTAATTGGTTGTGGTGAATTTGAATTATGGGAAAAAATTTGGAAAGTGTGTGTTGGATTTTGGGTAAGGGCTTGTGTATGATGGATTAGTACATTGTTGATTTTGTGGTTTACACGGTAAATTGGCTGACTGTAGGATTTGGAAAGGAAGGGAAAAAAGCATTAATTGACTGGTGTGTAAATGAAGGTTTACTTAGTAGCCATTATTAAGTGTCCTGTTTGGAGGAAGGAAATATGTATGGTCGAACATCGGCTATTTTCAAATGGAAGATATTTTTTACTCGTATTTTTGTGAATTTATGTGGCTACACCAGTATACAGATTCTAGTTCAGATAATTTTAGGAAGTGTGTGGATGCTGTTAAGGAATTGTGTTTGAAGACGCATAAATAAGGTAAGTGGATATTTCCTTCGTGTAGTGCTAAGATGACTTTCTTTTTTTATGTTATTTCATTGTTTGATTTAAAGTGTGTTTATTCAGATTATATACTTTGGCTGCGCCATTGACTTTTTAAGTGAATATAGTTCGATGTGTACGTGGACGAAATCAAAGGGAGTGCGCAAAGCCTAGTTTATGTAATTCTGGGATATTTTTAAAGTGAAAATAGGTCAATGTGTACATGGATACCAAGTTTGTGCAATTCTTTCTCTTGTTATTTTGGCTTTGTGTAGCGGCAATTTGTGCCAAAATCGCTGCTTCGCAAGCCAAAATAACAAGTCAAAGAATTGCACAAACTCGGTATCCATGTACCACCAAAAATCGCAAAGTTTCACCAAAAGGTACCCTAAAATATACTTTTACCTACCATTTTAATGGAAATTGCAAGAAACTATACTTCACAACAAGCTAACCTGTAAACATATATAAGGCTAGAATGACCTTTTCATGGCTTTTCACCCTGTTCAAGTTATCCATATGCACCAAACTGGCAACAGGTATTCAATTTCTCCAATTCCCAGCACATTTGGCGACTTCTTGCCAAATCCAGTATATTTAAAGAACAATCTTTTTATTCTATGAAGTTGCTGTTTAAATTGCTAGTTCACTGTAGTGTAAAATGTATTGCAAGTTTTATGTCTTAATTTATATGGGTTAGAGTAGACTGGAGAGTGCCCCTTGTATTATCGCAAAGTTGTTGTTTCGTTTATTGCCAAGTTGTTGTTTCATTTATGGTAACCTGAGTATGTTCTGTAAATATACTTTTACTTAGTGTTGGGTGCTCCTTTGACATTTTAAGTGAAAATATATGGCAACCTGTTTTCCTTTCCCTTCCATTATGCAGGAGCGGAAAAAAAGTCA